GTTACTGCAGCGAATCCTTTTCGCAGCTGGCTGATGGAAATCACCAATGGGGAGGTGGCGTCCTTGCAAGAGAATGGTCTGACAGCAGCTTCCATTAGACGCGTGGAAGAGCTACTGGCGGCGCTTGATCGACATCAAGAACAAGGAACAGGCCCTGAGGCGAGATGGGAGCTTTCTCGACTAGTGGCCAGAATGGAAAGTTGTGCCGAAACGCTGGAAGCTCTGATGGAAGTCCTCCACCGTCGTCTTGTACCACGTGGCTTCCTACCTGTGCAGCGGATGCCGGCGACAATTCACGACCAGCAACGGTTCTACCAGTGGGTGAGCCAATACAACACCCTCTGTGTGGATGCCATCGTGAGAAACATGGAAGCACCACTACAGACAGATGAGGTCGAGAGTAACGAAGTTCCCGATGCAGGGCCACCTGTCTCCGTGGAGCAACCATCCTCGTCCTCGGGTCCAGCACCTGCTTCGCTGCTACGGTCTAGAAGCCGCTCCAGGACACGTGGATCATCGGTGCCCTCTTCTTCCACCTCCCTTGTGGATGCAGAGGAGTCGGCTGAACCTGCTGTGCCTGTAGATGACCCAGAAGCAGCACAGATGCTCGAAGCTACGCTGCGTGGGACTCCTCCTGTCCTGCCCAGTTGGGCTCGACCGGGACTTACACCGAGTGAACGCCCTGGCCTCTGGCGCGAAGATCCTCCCCCGGGTACAGACAGCCTGGTGGATGGATTGGCTACTGAGGACACCTCTACGCCTTCGTTGACCAGCACAACTTCCTCGACTACAAGTACTACTGAGGACACCTCTGCGCCTTCATTGAGCAGCACAACTTCCTCGACTACAGGTACCTGGCGGCGACTGTCTGCGCTGGCGAGCACTTTGACCAACACAACTTCCTCGACTACAAGTACCTGGCGACGACTGTCTGCGCTGGCGAGTACTACGTCCTCGACTACAAGTTCTTGGCGACCACTGTGGGAGTTGGGGGTGATGTTGGAGGGCGAGCTCGTTCATTGGGGCAATTATACAGACTGATGGACGTCTTCTACAACTTCGACAACATCGACTAGCTCTTCGGAAATGCTGTGGCCGGGGGAAGTCGTACGCGACACAGTCAACCTACAGGCCATCCTTGCCGGGGGAGCGGACAGAGTGCAGGTGTTGCAGAGGCTCCTGGAGCGGCAAAGACACTTGTTGCATGAACAACGTCTCCTGGGTGAAGCGATTGAGGAACTGTCCTTTTGGCTGCCTCATCCGTCAGCGGCGCTTCCTTTCAATGCGGCTGGCATGGAGAGGACGATCTGGCAGTCAGTCCAGCGCGAGGCGCAGTTTGGGTCGGGGAGGTCCACGTCTTCAACGTCCAGGTTCGCTCTTACGCCTTCGTTCTTGCTCATGCCGGAGCTCCCTCGTTCCACGGAGGAAGTGTGGCAGCAGTTTTCTCCCGAGACTCCAAGATCGACGATTGCCGGGTATCGTCGCCGTGTATGGCGTTCGCAATCTTCTACGTCTTCATGCACTAGAAGGACTTGATCCTCCTGAACAGGCACGCAGTCTTGAGCCCCTGTTCATTCTACAGCGCGATGAGGCCCGACCAGTTCGGAATCTTCCGGATGGAGAGGCAGTTCCTGGAATTCGTCGCTTGGATAGCACTGGGGCCTACGGGCGACGCAGGAATCATCGACCTCGTCCTGCTCCGCTGCTTCGTAATCGATACCGGGAAGTTCGTCCTTCGCCTCCTCGCCGAGTCCATGTGCCTGACCCTCCAGATTATGTTCCTCGTGCTGATCGTGCTCCTCGTGCTCGAAGCCGCAGTCGGGATGCGGTTGACGATGGAGAGGGTGGTGTCAGCTCTGCTGCCCCTGGCTCGTCTTCGAGTGGTGTCGTCGGTGGTGGAGAAGTTCGTCCTAGTGTCCATGCTTCTCGTCGTCGTGTGGTGGTGCATGAGTCGAGTTGTGACGTGGATGACAGCGTGGAGTGAGTGGCCGTCCCAGTCCTGGAACGAGTTGTCGTTCCTTTACACCTTCTGCCTTCGGGTGGATTCTGCTGACTCTGCTGGTGGAAAAAGGTGTTTAAAAAAAAAAGCCCCAAACCCCTAAACCCCAAAGCCCTTCTAAACCCTATAACCCTAAAGCCCTACAACCCTAAACCCTAAACCCATTTAAGACCCTATAACCCTATAACCCTATAACCCTAAACCCTAAACCCATTCTAAACCCTAAAACCCTAAACCATAAAACCCTAGACCCTAAGCAAAGGAGAAGCCGCAGAAGCGCATGACGCTGCGAGCGGGCTCCTGGATCTTTCAGGCCCCAAGGGGTTTCTTTGAAGTCGAGGGTTTAGGGTTTAGGGTTTAGGGTTTAAGGTTTAGGGTTTAGGGTTTATGGGTTAGGGTTTAGGGTGTAGGGTTTAGGGTTTAGGGCTTAGGGTTTAGGGCTTAGGGTTTAGGGTTTAGGGTTTAGGGCTTAGGGTTTAGGGTTTAGGGTGTAGGGTTTCTTTGGAGTCGAGGGTAGGAGCCTTGTATGTGGGACTTTCCGATAATTAGGGTACCTTTTTTGGGGGTCCGTATAATAAGGATCCTACTATCTAGGGTACTATATTAAGGGTCCCCTATTTTCGGAAACCCCCATGTGTTTTTAACCCAAAAACCTTACCTTCCTTTTTAAGGGAATGCTATAAACCCTATAAGCCCCTAAACCCTGAAAGGGTCGGGTTTTGTGGGCTACCGGCAGGGCTCAGGTTTTGCCGTTTGTTGTTTGAAGTTCAGCGTTTTGGGCTTTAGGGGTCACGGTCCAAGAGGGCAAGAACTGGAGATCGTGAATCGTGATTGCATACTTCTTCCGCTCTTAAGAGGTCTACTGGTATTCCTGTACGGCTCGAAAAGGGTTTAGAATGCGCGAGGGTTCCACAAGGTTCATGCCTTTTTCGAATTTGCTGTTGCAGCGTTAGGCGCTGGGTCTTGGGTTTTGAGCGCAGTGTCCAGGGTTTGGGGCTGAGTGTTTGGTGCTTATATATAGGTTTGAGGCTCTAGGATTTTAGAACCAAAGGGGGCTGTGAAATTGGTTTCGGTGTAGCTTTCGGGTTTTTGCTAGTTCTCTAAAGTAGGGTCCCTTTAGGGTCTTGCTTTTTGTATAAGGATGCCGTACTATATTGGGGACCTAAAAGGGCCCCTAATTTAGAGAACTGCCCAAATGCTTTTTTTGTTTAGGTCTCGGCTCTCTCTGAGGAATATTTAGTGAACTTAGTTCAAGTTGCCATACTGAGGTTTGGGGGGGTGTCGTTTGGGGTTCCGGATTCCATGGCTTTAGTACAGGAACTTCCCGTACATATCACACCAAAGGTATGCAGTAAGGCATGAAATATACTTTCATCAGGCAAATCAAGGCGGCAGGGCAAATCAAATTCCTAGCTAAGAACCCCCCGACGGTGAGTTTCGAGCATACAGGACGCTTTCGGCCCTTCCAACAAGGCCAGTTTAGCCAGACCCGAAATCATCCAGCAAGCACCACAACAGAAAGAAAACGGATCGAACGGATCTCTGAACCTTCGCATGTTTTCGATGCCAGCATGTTTCCCCATACTAGCTTAAGGCCTAAGTAAGGGGCTTTGGGGTTGAGGGCAGTTTGGGGGTTTATGGTTCAACGTTCTGGACCTGGGTCGCCCCTCTCCTACCAATCAGACACACCAAGAAGTTGAAACCACCCTAAACCCTAAACCCTAAACCCTAAACCCCAAACCCAAATCCCAAAACCCTAAACGCAAGACCTTAAACCCAAGACCCAAAACGCTAAAGCCTCAACCGCAAGCCTCCAATCCGAACCCCTACTACTCCCCAGCCCGGAATGTGGCAGCCCCCAGACCCCTTTCAATGCCAAACGCGTCGGTCCTGTTCCAGGCCAAGGCGAAGGCTGGACAGATCAAGGCTCCAATTCTTCCCTCAACGCACGGTTTAGCAGTTTAGGACTTGCGGGTTTAGGGTGTAGGGTAGGGGCTTCGGGCCGGGACTTGACGGGAGAGGTAGTTATCGGGGTCTTAATGTTTCGCAAGGCGATTCCTTTTCGGGCTTCCAGCATGTAAAAACCCCCTTGAGTCTGGCGGGTGCCTGGATTTTTGTGTGACTGAGGGTTTAGGGTTTAAGCTTTCGGGTTTTAGGGTTTAGGTTTAGGGTTCAGGGTTCGGGGCTTATAATGTTTAGGCGTTTCGGGTTTGGGGTTGCATTTAATCGTTGTTCTTGCAGCTAAAAACTTGCCTTCACTCCGAAGGCCACAACCCGACATTGCTGTTCCTCTGATTCGTGCGCCCAGGGATGCCTGCTGCTAGCTGTAGGGACCTCGATAATACGGTTGATGATATAAATCCTGCATTACCCATATGGAATATACCATAATTCCCATAGTTAAGGGTTCTTAAGGTACTGCAGGATCTATATTATCAGCAAACCGATTCTGGGGCCTGAGGGCCTGTGGGGTTTAATCTTCAGACCACCCAGGCCTTCAAACAGCCCCGAAATACTGTGGTGGAGGACCAAAAACTCGATGCGATCGCTCCCCTAACCCTGCTCAAGAAAAGAGCTCACCTGCGGATCGTTCTTGCCCTAAGCCCTAAATCCTAATCCCTAACAGACTGAGGACTTCGGCAGTTGAGGTGGTGATAATTTTAGAGGTCGGAAGAATGGGGGGAGGGGGGGCCATGACGTTGGCGCAGGAGGATGCGGTGGAGGCTCCGGTGCCAGCGCAGGAGACCGCGTTGGAGGCTCCACCGGCGGAGGGCGGGACGGCGGTGCGGCGGCGGACCCTGGAGCGCTGCCCACGGCCATCATGCAGCTGGCACGTGCCATCAATGTCCTGGCTGCAGCGGTGGTTTCTTCTTCCAGCAGCCTCAGCAGCAAGGTCTGCCCCCCGACCTCGCGACAACACAGGCCGGTTCACAGCGGCTCCGAGTATACGTCAGTACCGCCGGCTGGACCTTTGCCGCTTGCGACAGCAGCCCGAGCCTGGCTCTGGCCGCTGCGGGACCTGCGCCACGTGCGCCGCGCTTCTACCTTTTGGCAAGCGCCGTGGCCTCTGCATGGCGAAGACGAAAACAGCGGATGCGCCGCCTGAGAGACGACCTGAGCCTGAAGCATCCGTGGCGGCCGAGCCGATGGAGAAGCGACGCGTGGGCCCATGGAGGAGCAACCGGCGGCGAGCGAGGAGAGGCCGCGGTGCGCGGCACGGATCCCCCGTTCTCTACTGGGGGATGGGCTAGACTAGAAGCATGTTGACCCTCCCAAATCTCCGATCCAAGTATCCTAGACGCCGCATTCTAAGCCGTACAACCTAAACCCTAAACCTTCATGAGTCTTGTCCTTGTTTGCATTGCTTTCGTGGAGTCACAGGCAGAGCCAGTTCTGCGTGGAGAGCTCTTCCGACCAATCCTTGCCACACTGGCGGAAGAGATTCGGCTGATGCTTGCCAACATGAAGGCGTGGTCCTTAGGGAAGAAATGAACCCCGAAAGAGCTTACAGAAGGTTTAAGGCACATATACCATATAGGGATTCATATAGTGTCCATAGGGACGAAATGAACCTAAGAGGGTTTAAGGTGCAAAAACCATAAATAATAGGGATTCATAGTATGAGGGTATAGGGCACCTGCTTATAAGGGTCATTTGTTCCCCAAGGGTGGCGAGGGAGCAGAGTTGGCGTTTGTCTGTGAGCGAGCTCCCAAACTCTGGAACTAGAAGCCCTACGCCCTAAAACCCTAAACCCTAAACCCTAAAACCCTGAGTCCAATTCTAAGAGCTTCCCTAAATCCGTGTCGGATGTTGCATCATGGCTTAGGGATCTCATGAGCTCTGGATGCCTGTTTCTTTTATGGAGATTCCGGTTTACTTCAGGGCATGACGCCACGGGGAAGGCTGGGGGCAGGGAAATGAAGATACAGTATGCTGTGTGGGGTTTGAGAGTTCAGGGACTTGGGGGTTAAGGGGCTTCTGGCTCCCTAAGCCCTAAACCCTAGGGTAGTTGGTTCAGGTGATTGTTTCCGGCATCTACAACAAGAAAGATGAGGAGGCGGAGGCAGTCAAGGAGTGCGGCTGCATGTCAATTTGCAGGGCTGGCTGGGCTTTGGGCTTTAATTAGGCTTTTGGATCCCCATACCCTAAACCCCATACCCTAAACCCTATATACCCTAAAAACCCTTAAACCCCAAACCCTATATACCCTAAAACCCTAAACCCTATAAACCCTAAGCCATATACCTGGTCCCTACTCGTCTAGGGTTGAGTTTTTTGGGGTTTAGGATGGCGGCAGGCCTTCGATTTGTATCGGGGCTTGGGATTTCGTCAAGGTGTCAGGCCTGGTACAAAGCGTCACAAGCGGGCCGGGATGTGAGGTTTGGGGTTTAGCTTGGGGATCACAGTTATGGGGGAAGTTTAGGCCCGTCGCAGTTTCTGTGGAGAGAAATTTCCTCCTGCGGCCCAAGTAAGAAACAATC